ATTACTGCCAAGGATATTAATTTCAAGAGTCCAACAGAACACTATGAGATAACAAGAATGAGGCATTTTATCTTAGCTATGGACCTTTTTCATATTGATGTTGACTACCTAGAGCTCATTTCTTCAAGAATTCTCACATGGAAAAATGCTTCCAGAAAAAACAAAAAGAAAATAAAGAAAAGTATCCCAGATGACCATAGTTTGCTGTGCAAACTGCAAAAAAGGATCTATTGATTTATCTGTAATTCATTGATTCTGGCAGTGTGCTGCAGAATACGATGATTGGGCTTTGGCGGCAAAGCAAACAACCAACAACAACAATAAACACAAAATTGCCAAAACCTTAGCTTCCCATTCAGCGAACTTGGAATGTTTCTGCTCTTTTTCTTCCCGTCTTCTTGAAGCAAGGATGATGGTTCTACATGATTGAGAGGAGAGGATAGAATTTATGATTCTTCTCATCAGTTCGCTCGTGTTGCTAACTGCTGTCCTGAAATGATTGACCACTGAAATGTCATTGATGTTATAATGAAAAATTACGGAGTAGAAGCAATGAGATAGCCCACGAAATCCAACATGGGAACTGGAAAAGCTGTGTAATGTTTTAAAATGCAGTTCACAACAAGCTGAGCCACGCAAGCATAAATTTATCCTCGAAATCATTTATAATTAGATTATGATATGGTGTACTGGGATGATAGGGCTTCATGAACTATATTACCCACAAAAGAACAAAACAAAACAAAATCAAATCAAAACAAAACAAAAGTATAAATCGATTTTAAATTGGTATAAGACTCGTGACAAAAGTAAAATAATGAGAAATCAAAATAATGGTGAGACCCACAAATGTTGAAAGTTGGAATAGGACCAACGAAGTTAAGAATTATTTCCACATTTTTTTTTCCAACAAGAAACAACATTTTATTGATAAATGAAAAGGACAGGATCCAAAGTTAACAATGAGCAAGAAACAAACTTTCCACTAATATAAACATTGAGTGCAAATGAGAGAAACTGAGTCCCATTCTCCAGTTCACATTTCCAATATGCAATCATGGCCTTATTGATTGGCAGCTTTGACATTATAATAGGATCTTGTGTTGTTTTTCTTTTTCTGGTATAGGGAGAAAAGCACTTGCTGTGTTAAATGGTATTCGATCATTTACTTGATTAAATCAATTTCTTACCATATGTATGAATCAAAAACAATTATGGTATAATAGATATACTAACCCTAATCAAAAACAATTATGGTATAATAGATATACTAACCCTTACCAAATATGTGATGAATAATAAGGGACAACAATCAGCTCCCTGTAGAAGGCCTTCGCTTAATCACCAAATCATCAGCTGAATAGTAATCAGCGATGAGCCGATACATGTATGATGAGTTATGGCCACCTCTGTCAAAGTGACAAGAGTAACTAATGAGAAATAAACAGACGAAATCAAGATCAATATAACAGCATTCCTCTTTTTCACTAAGAGAAAAAAAATCAATTGAAACCCAAAAATTTAAAAATCCAAAAACAAATATTCAATAGAAAAGTCAAACCAAAGCACCTTGCTTTAAAAATGGGGATCATTTAATTGAAACAAAATAAAATAATATAAAGAAATAATTGATAACAAAGATGATATTAAAAGAAAAACCCATCAATCAATATATGCCACTCCTTTTTATTTAGGAGTTGGGAAGTAGAGGAATGAAATACAACGCAAGAAAAAAAAAAAGCTTGAAACTGCTTTAGTCTTATGATTGGTTGGTAGGAAAAAAAGAACTGGACTTACGTGTCAGTAATAAATAAACTAACAAGTGATGGTGGCACATAGTCAAATGTTGGGTTGACTACATGGAGAAGAGGAGAACCAGTGTTAGTTCCAAAGTCCATGCAATCTGAAAATTCACCAAAGTCAAGTAGCTCTGACGGGGATCTCAGTTCATTGAGTAGAACTTCAGGATTGTGAGGATACAAGGGGCATAACTGTCAAATAAGTAACAAACATTCAGAAAAAAATTTTGTACAATATCCAGGAGCCACAATTAAAACTTTTCTCCATCCAATAGTGGAAGCTATATATCATGTCAAGACTATATTTAATATGTTTGAGTTACATTCTACATATCAATCCCTAACTATTGCAATAGTGTTACTTTGTTCTATAATACTAACCGCGTGTAAAATTAGAGTAAGAAATTAGAGAATCTTTTTAGTATGCATAAAGGCAGGTGAATAAGGGCAGGAGTAAGTGCGGATCTGCCTCATTGGTCTTTAAGTGTGTTTTGGCATCTACTCTTTTCTCATTTTTTTTTTAATCTCACACTAATTCAAGAGCTTTTTCTCCTTAACTTTGAGGTCAGAATAGGACTTGCAGTACCCCTCATTTCTATATTTTTTTAGGTTAAAATACTATTTTGGTCATTTTACTTTTAATTTGGTTCATTTTGATCCCTATTCTTTAAAATGTTTGTTTTAGTCCCCGTATTTTTTTAAAATGTTAATTTTGGTCCCTACAGTTAACCCACCGTTAAATGGGTTAAATAGATAACAAATTGATGACGTGGCATTGTTTCTTAATTTTTTTTTGGAAAGACATTTTTACTTCCCGTTCGGCTCACAAACAATCATATTCGACCATTTCCAATCACTTTCCATCCTTTTCCCTCCTTCCAAAAACCCATTTCCTCCATTTTCCCGCTTCCCAAACACATCCATCTCACACTTATACAGCTTCAGCCCTCAAGAACACAAACAAAGAACCCCCAAATCTCTCTGTTCTGATCTCTGTCCGTTGGTGTTGTGTTCCTTTATGGCCATGGTTTCATTCCCATTTGTTTGTTTGGAAATTAACTCTCCCTCTGTTCTTCAATTCCGCAATCATACTTACCACAAGAATTTGAGTATTCTCAGAGAAAACAATAAACCCAATAAAGACCCTAATTGAAATTTTCTTCAGAAAGCTGCGGCTATGGCCTTCGGCTTCGACTTTTCTGCCATAATTTCCAAAGAATTCCAACACCCACTTCCTGAAACCGCCAACCCACAAGTTCAAATCTCCAGCAATTTCGCTCCCGTCCCGGAGCAGCCAGTCAGGCACCACCTTCCGGTCATCGGAACCGTCCCAGACTGCATTAATATAGTCTACCTCTGCAACAGGACCAACCCGCTCTTCGAGCACACTGCCAGACACCACTTGTTTTTCGTTCTGTTTCACTTTCGTTTACTTGAAGATTAACACCCAGAGAGAATTAGAAATTAAATCAGGGAACATGCATAGAAGGGAAGGTTTGAGTGTCTGAGTATTGATCAATCTGTGAGTTTGTGGGTTAGGGGGTAAGAAGAAAATAGAACGTTTCTGCTTATGCCCTGCCCCTTGAAATCACCGAAGACAGTCGAAGGGGAGAAGAAAAAATGTGTTTAAAAAAAATATTAAGAAAAATGACATGTCATCGATCTGTTATCTATTTAACGATGGATTAACAGCAAGGACCAAAACGAATATTTTTCAAAAGTACAGGGACCAAAATGATGGGAATTGATGAATTCCCAGGGTGAGGGTCCTTCTATTTCTTTGGGCCTTTCTCTTGCCCTAACGAATCGGGATACCTTTGAGGTTTCCGCTTTGCTTTCTTTGGTGTCTCAGTTTTTTGTGTTCCCTGGGAGAGAGGATGTGAGGATTTGGACCATCCCAGCCCGTCCAAAGGTTTTTCTTGTAGTTCTTATTATCAAATTTTGAGCTCTCCGTCTTCTTCTTCTCCCCCTTCGACCCCTTGGTTCACCTATTTGTGGAAGATTAAAGTTCTGAAGAAGATCAAGTTCTTCGGGTGGTAGGTTCTTCTTGGAAAAGTTAATACCTTGGATCGTATCCAGAGGATGTCAAGTTTTTGGCTAGGTCCGCAGTGGTGTGTTCTCTGTAAGAGTGCCTCGAGAACCTTGATCATTTGCTGTGGACTAATCAGTTTGCTTAGGATCTTTGGCATCGTTTCTTTTTGTGCTTTGGGATTTCCTGGGTCCGTGCCAGGAATTGTAGGGCTATGATGGAGGAGGTGCTTCTATTCCTCTCTTTTCAGGATAAAGATTGTTTTTTGTGGCAGGCGTGCGTTCTAGCTATGTTATGGGGTATTTTGCTGGAGAGGAATCATAGAGTGTTTAGGGGGGTGGAAAAGCCTGTGGATTATGTTTGGGACATTGTTAGATTTAACACTTCCTTATGGGGCTCGGTTTCTCATCTCTTTTGTAATTATTCGCTTGACCTTATTCTTTTGGATCGTAGCCCTTTTCTTTAGGGGGCTTCCTCTTGTTGGGTTGTTTTTTGTATGCCCTTTTTAGGCCTTTTAGTGTATATTTTGTATCCTTTTCATTTTTCTCAATGAAAGTATTGTTTCGTATAAAAAAAAAAGAAAAAAAACATTTTCAAAGTACAGGGACTAAACTGAACCAAGTTAAAAGTACTAGGACTAAAAGAGTATTTTAACCATTTTTTTAATAGGAAGCAGAGCTTCATTAACCTAATGAAATATGCAAGAAGAAACCAAAGGAATTAAAAATGATCACCAATTGGTCTGTGTATCAAATAGAGAATAACTACAAACGGTTCTTAGAATTGAGACACCAAGAACAAGCATTATAGTCAAGTCTTCTATATTTATTATTGAAGATTCTTCTAATGCATTTTTATTTTTTTATTTTTTTTTGATGAAAACCAAACTTTCATTAAGAAACATAAACGAAATACAAGGGCATTAAAAAAAACCAACATGAAAGAAATACAAGGGCATAAAAAAAACCAGCTCCACAAAAGAAGTCCAAAACAAAGCTGCTATAGATCAAACTGCCGAATCAGAAAATGCAATAGCACAATTTTCTGATCTTTGAACTAATGACCAATGAGAACATTGAACCAAAGATTTTTGGTATATTTAGGAGGATGCATCATGTACTGGAAAATATCCAAAAGCCCGCTCCATAGCTTGTCCACCACCAGCCAAATAATAAGAGATTGGCATCTTCCAAATTGTTTTTGCATAGAGAATCAGTTGGGTTTAAGATACCAACTAGAATTCCTTCTCTATAGTATTAAGATACCATTCGTGTTAAAACAATCCAAGGTGAGGGTCCAGAAAACTTTATATTCTTTTTGGGGTTTTTTGATCTCTAAAGTTCCTCGCAGAAGACTGGAAGTTAGATATGGTCACTTCAGGTTGAGTGTTGGAATTGAGACTGAGAAGATCTCATTCTTATCATGCATTATCGCCTTGAATCCTGCCTTACAGAAAGTCTTTGGCATTCTATACATTGGATAAGACAAACCCAATCAACAAACTCCTAGTTGTAAAGACGTCCCCTGAGCTTAAAGCTCTCACTCTATATCATCAGAGTTTCTGGCTTTTTTAAACCTAATTAATTTATTGGGTGAAGCCATAAAGAGTCTACGACTGCACCATGAGAGGTCCCTCTTCTCCATTCATCCAACCAGAGAAGTGTATTAACACCATTCCTAACTTTCATTCAAGGGAACTGATCGTAAGACCCCAACATTTTAATGATGCTTGACACGTCTTCTGCAACTACCTTATTTACATTACTTAGGCAGCAACGAGCAACCAATCTTCCTATATTTGCTCAAAATTGTTCTTTCTAAAGTTTTTTTTTTAGATAAGAAACATATCTGTATTGATAAAAAAAGAGAAACAAACTAGAGGCTGGGGTAGAGGGAACCCCACCAAACAAACTAAACAACCGCTTCCCAATTGTTCATAAACATGGAAAGGTTGTAGTTACAAAAGAATTTACTATAAGTGATGCACCACCGAGAGGTCGTGTGCTGTACATTCCTACAAAATAAACCAAAAGTAGTCGACTTATCTTCAAACATGCGAGAATTCCTTTCCAGCCATAGACTCCATAGGAGAGCCCTTGAAGCACACTTCCAAATAAACTTAGCCTTTTTAGGAAGAGTCCACCCGTGAAGCACTTCAACCATCCAATCATCTATCATTTTTGGGAAGCAAATAGAAATTTCAAAGGTGTTTAAGAGGAGACACCAGTTCTTTTCCGCAAAAGAACAATGCAGAAAAATGTGATCTATGTTCTCACTGTGATTCAAACAAAAGGAGCAGACCGAAGGGGATAACACCCAATTCTTGCACTTTTTCTGTAGATTCTCATGAGTATTAAGGCTTCTATGAGCAAGAGACCAAAGGAAGACTTTGATCTTTTTTGGGACCTTGAAGTTCCATATTGCCGAGATGAGGGGTGATCTCAAAGATGGGCTACGATCCAACAGCTTCAAACGGGCCGAGCGAGTAGAGAACTGACCATTTTTTCCAGGAGGCCATAAAACCCGATCCTCCCCCTCACCTAGTCGCACCACATCGATAACTTGGATAAGATTTATCCAGTTTTCAAGCTCCCAATCAAAAAGACCTCTACGCAGACCTAGATCCCAATCATTCTCATTAGCATTCCAACACTCCATGACTGTGGCTTCCTTTTTTGTAGAGAGATTGAACATGTCAGGGAACCTCTTTTGGAGAGAGTCATTCCCAATCCAACTGTCCGACCAGAATTTAATACGATTCCCTCGTCTTGAACTTAAGGAATTTGGAAAAAAACGAGCTGTTCTTGAAAATATCGAACCACGGTCTTCCTTTGGCACAACCTTTAGGAGGAAGGGTATTCTACCCGTGAGGCTCTTTACCGTAGATGCTAGCTATCACCTTCCTCCAAAGCGCATTGTCTTCTTGGGTGAATCTCCAAAGCCATTTAAGTAGTAAACTGTTGTTCTTTTGTTGTAAAGACCCTATACCAAGACCTCCATATTGCAACGGAAGAGCGGTCTTTCCCCAATTCACCAGGTGAGTAATAGAGCCATTATTGCTATTTCCTTTCCAGAAGAAATCCCGAGACAGCTTCTCAATTTCCTTTATAACCTTCGTAGGAGCCTTTAAAACCGAGAAGTAGTATAGGGGAAGACTTGTGAT